ACTACCTAGAATCGATGACACGCTGGACTCGTTATCAGGTACAAAATGGTTTTGAACACTTGATTTGAAAAGTGGTTATTGGCAAGCAGAGGTAAACGAAGAAGACAAAGAAAAGACGGCTTTCAGCGCCGGAGATAGTCTATAGCAATTTACCGTGATGCGCTTTGGATTATGTAACGCTCCTGCTACCTTCGAGAGACTTATGGACTAGGTATTAAAAGGACTACACTGGAAGACCTGTTTGGTATACCTCGACGATATCATCGTGTTGGGTAAACGCTTCGATGAACACCTTAAGAACTTGGAAGAGGTTTTCCAACGGATAGCTAGCGCTGGTCTAAGGCTGAGTCCAAAGAAGTGTTCCCTTTTTAAAAAGGAAGCAAGCTACTTAGCTAATGAAAACATGGTAAGTAGTAGGCAGTAAAAGATTGGCCCACTACTAAAAATTTACATGAATTGCGGAGTTTCCTTGGACTTTGAACTTATTAGAGACGATTCGTTCCAAATTTTGCCAGCGTAGCTAGTAGTCTCCATGAAATCATGAAAAGGAACAGAGTTTTTGAATGGAATAAAGAACAGAAAGTAACTTTCCAAACTCTGAAGAAATAGTTAAGCACAGCCTCAATGTTACAAAATCCCCGGTCCCAGGATCAACGTTTATTTTGGATAAGGACAGTTGGCACGGTGGATTGAGAGACTCCAAAGTTACGACTTCTTTATAGAACATCGCAAAGGTAGTAGTTATGGCATTGCTGATGCCATGTCCCGCAGTCCCTGTAATTTGGAATGCAGGCATTGCTCGAAAGCTGAGGCCAAAGAAGACATTATAGATGTCCGATTAATGACTATAACATCCGAATGGGATCCGGAGGAGCTACGGAAATGTCAGCAAGAAGATCCAGATTTGAAAATTGTAATACATGGATTGGAGATAAATAAACGTCCAACGAGAGAAGAAATAGCTGCAGAAAGCCCAGTCGCAAAGGCTGGGCACAATGGAATAGTTTGAAGTTAGTATCTGGCTGCTTGCATCGCGTATGGGAAAGCGTAGGTGGGCAAAGATCACGAGCTCTGTTGTTCCAAAAGTATGAATTCCTGAAGTTCTCAACGAGCTGCACAACGATCCAAGTGGAGGACACATGGGTATCACTAAAACCTTGGAGAAATTAAAACAAAGATTTTATTGGGTTGGTTGTCGTCAATCAGTTACGGAGTGGATCGCCAATTGTGTCGAGTGCATTGCTGCTAAAGGGCCGCGGTCCAGGAGTCATGGTCAGAGGAAACAGTACAATTCAGGTGCGCCGTTTGAGCGAGTAGCCATGAATGTAGCTGGTCCATTTGCTATCAGTAAATTAGGAAACATATATGTTTTGGTAGTCATGGACTATTTCAGCAAATGGCCAGAAGTATACGCAATTCATAACCAAGAGGCAGGAACAGTAGCGGATATATTCATCAACAATTGGGTATCGAGATATCAATAGAATTATATTCTGAGCAAGGGAGAAATTTTGAATCAGCTCTAATACAGGAAATATGCCAGAAGCTGGGTATTCGGAAAACCCGTACAACTGTACTACATCCGCAGTCCGATGGCATGGTAGAAAGATTCAATCGACGAACATTTGAGGAAAGTTGTGTACAAGTATCAAAAAGATTGGGATACCTATATATCCTTGTTCCTGATGGCTTGTCGGTATGCTGTACATGATAGAACGAGGCAGACTCCAGCAAGGATAAATTTTGGTTGGCCAACGGAGGAAGGAATACTAAGGAATTTAGTAGCACACACAGTTTAGTAGTGACACAGCGCACCAAAATTATGAGCGATAAGATGAAAGCAAAATACGACAAGGCAATAAACTCTAAGGGTTTTATTGAAGGCGATTGGGTATTGTTATATAACCTATAACGAAAGAAAGGGTTAGCTCCCAAATTGCAGTGTAATTGG